CCTCCTCCACCAGCAATGCCTCCCTAGGAGCACAGAGACCCCTTCATTCCCATAGGTATAAAGTGGTAGGCCTTGCCCAGAGGTGCCAGGATCCCATTCCCGTCTGGACAGCATGTTCCTTGGTTCTTTCTAAGAGCCCAACCTGTGCTGGGAACACTCTTTGATGACACTGTAGTAAACAGAGGTGGCCTCCTGGGGTGGGAGCTTGGGCTGGGCCAGCTGGCACTAGAACAGCCCAGGGAAGGCCTCCCAGAAGTGCTGGGACATGAGGGCATAGGTGATGGGGTTGACGGCACTGTTCAGGTAGATGCAAAGGTGGCAGAAGAGAAGAAAGCCGAGGTTGAGGTAGGGCGTGCTCAGGAAGGAATTCACCACCACCAGGGTGTGGTAGGGCAGCCACAGCAGAGCAAAAAGGACCACCACCACAGCCAGCATCTTGGTGACCTGCCAGGTAAGACAGGAAAACAGAAATGCATGGGTGTCAATGGAGAAACCTGAGCTCCAGGTCTCTCTGCAAGCTTTCAAAAGGAAGAAGCCAAAAGAGCATGCTATGCCTCCCGTGTGCCCTCCCTTCAACTCCATCCCCACCTAAGAAACTTGTATGCACCTTCCTATTCCCTGCTCAAGTCATTCTTACTGGGAAGCCTCCCCTGCTCCAATCCAACCCCAAAGCCCTTGGATGGGCCACCACTTCCTAGAAGCAAATTCATTAGCCCCCTGGGCCTTGGGCTCTTCCTCCGTAAGATGGAGACATAGTGCTGCCTTTGTCTCAGGTGGATGTGAGGCTTAAAGGAGTGGGTGAAGGTAAAGCACTTAGAACGTTGCTAGGCATGGAATAAACGCTACATGTGTGACTCCTGCTGCAGCTGCTGCTACAGCCACCGCCACCTCTACTTCTCCTACTGTTACTACCACATGGCATTCAGAGCGGGACACAGCTGGGCTAGAATCCTGGTCCCACCACTAGCCATCTGTTCGGTCCTGGACAGGCCTCTTTCTCCAGCCTCTCCCCAACAACACTCCCAGCCACATGCTCACTTCTGGTACTTTTCTTCATCCTGCTTCTTCCCTCCTGACTCTCCTGCCTGCCTTTGTCCAGGACTGCCTGCAGCGCCTTTTCCCCCACCCCCTCTTCACCTTCCTAACTCTTCAGATCTCCCCCATCATGTCCCTGACAGCTTCAGACTGCATAAAGCCTCCCAGAGGTGGTGCACGGTGGAAGGTGTTTCAAAAGATGCATGGTTTCTAAATTCTGGAAAGTGCCACAAGGGAGCATCTGTCAAGGTGATACAGGGACATCTCTATTACTGGGGAGGGCAGCAGGGTGCCCCATCCTCACTGGCTCCCTAAGAGACCAAACCTTGGGTAGCAAAAGTTCACTTACTAGAACTTAAATTGCTCAAATAGTCCCAGCACTGGTTCTGCCCAGAAAACCCTGGACACATTCAATCAGCTCTGAGGAAGGTGGGAAAGCCAACTTTCTCATCAGGAAGGAAGCTAACCTGGACTGTTGCAGCATGTGACTGCGTCCATGGGTTTAGTTCCTATGAATGATCTCTCCAAAGAGGCCTGGCCCAGACTGAGTCAATAAATTTCTGTGCTATAATATTCTCCAGGAACCACAAAATCTCAGAATTCCCTAATCAGTCTTGACTCCTGATTTTACCAAATTTAGATTCAATTCCATTCTATTTTAGGCTCACTTGGGTGATAAATACTGGGTAGGAGTATGTGGGCTCCGGAGCTAGGTCAAGCTCTGCCACTTACCGGCTCTGTAACCTCGGGCAGCCCCTCTGTGCCTTAGTTTCCTCATCTGTCAAACTAGGATGATAACAGTACATGCATCATAGAGTTGTACAAATTCAAAATGTTCATTTGAGTAAAGTGCTTAGACCAGTACCTGGCACATAAAAAATACCCAGTAAATGTTAACATTTTGCTTTTATTTAATGCCTCTTCCCAGTTGTAATTGTACGCTGCATTCTGCAAGGACTCTCTTAGGTATCAAAGAATGTTCAGTCCAGAGACAACTCCCCTTATAAAAAAACACATGAATGCTCCAACAAAACACAATAATAATAGGTACCATATACTGAATACTTACTATATGTTGGATTCATAATTTTTACTACCATTCATTTTACAGAGAAGGAAATCAAGGTAGTGATGGGCCAGCAGCCAGAGATTAACATTTCAAAACTGCTCAGTCGGTGCCCCGCCCCCTCCCGTCTAAAAACCGCCTTGAGCTGAGGTGCCTGCAGCAAGGCAGACCAGATGGGCTGTTCGAGGCGGCTAGAAGGAGCCCTCTAGAGTGAGCCTACCCAGGGAGGCAGGGAAATGGCACAGATGGTCCTCGACTGGCTCAGGGAGTGACTCAGCCCGGGTGAGGTGTCCTCCCCGCTCCCCTCCAAGTTGAGGGTGGGGACAGGAGGCTGAGGATAAAGGCCAGTTGTGCCCAGGGATCTCCCCTCCCACCTGCATTCCGGGAGAACGCTTGAGTGGCCACGCTGCTGGAGTGGGGGTGCGGGACATAAGGAGTCCTGGGCACGTGGGTGCGCACCCAGTTTCCTGGTTCACCTTCATCCCTTCCTTGTTTCCTTTGAGCCTGTTTCCTTGTCCATAAAAACAAACATTAAACTGCCCAACAGGGATAATATCAGGAAGGATCACAGAACCAGGCACACAGTAAACGTCTAGTAAATGCTAGATCTCTCCCAACCTCACTAAAACCCATCCCCCCTCGGATTTTCAGACTCTCCAGGTCCGTTGAGGCAGCTTTAGTGACAGATGAAACACTATGGCCCTGGGAAAGTCACTTAGCCTCTGAGCCTCAGTTTCTCCATCAGTAGAAGAAAGAGAATAATAGTTGCCCAAGTACGCTAGTTGTGGAAGTTTAGTAATAACAACCAGCATTAATTGTGATTCAGTGGGCTAAAGACTTAACATGAATTATCTCATTTCTCTGGACACTCCAATGCTGTACGCATTGACTCTACCCCATATAAAAGAAGAGGAAACTGAGGTTCAGAAAGGCAAAAACAATGCCTCCCAAAACGCAAATCTAGTAAGTAGCACAACAGGGATTTGAACTTGAGGCCTTTGACTCCAGAAGCGCACAAGTTTCCACCCACCATTCTGCTGGCTCGGTACAAGGGTCCGGGCGTGGACGGAGGTCCCTACCTGCTTCCGAGAGTTGGAGGCTCCCTTCCTGCCCTTGGAGGGGAAGCTCGCTTGGCCGGCGGGACCGCCCTGGTGCGCAGATCCCGGGCGCTGGCAATGGCCTGGAGGCAGCGGGCGGACGAAGAGGACGCGCGCGATGAGCGTGTAGAGAACAGTGGCGAGGCCAAAGGCAGCGCGTAGAAGAGCGCGAAGTCCTGGAAGTAGACCGGCAGGTAGAGAGTGCGAGACACTCGGTAGCCGCATTCCATCTGCACGCTGTCGGCATACGAGGCCTCGCGAGTGTCCACCAGGAAGAGCCAGAGCACGCAGTAGGCTCCAGTGCCCAGCCACACCAGCGCCGCGATGCGCTTGGCCCGCGCCACGGTGCACAGCGCCTGGGCGCGCAGCAGGTGGCAGATGGCGAGGTAGCGCTCCACGGTGAACGCCGTGATGGAGCCCGCGGAGGCGTTGATGCCCACGTACTGCAGGTAGGTGATGCCCAGGCAGCCTGCGTGGCCACAGACCCAAACTCGGGCGGACGCCGCCTCGTCCACAGTGGGCACTCCGGCCGCCAGGAGCACCAGCAGGTCCGCAGCGGCCAGGCTCACCAGGTAACAGTTGGTGGGTATGACCATGTGGCAGCCCCGGACCACCACCAGGACCACCATGGCGTTACCCGCCACACTCACGGCGCACACGAGGGGCACCAGAGTCAGAGTCACCGCCTGCACAGCCAGTGGAGGCCGGGGCATGGTGCCCAGGCCGGACGCGTTGGCGCGCTCCGAGGACCCGGTGGGGTTCTCCATTCTCTCCTGCCCGAGCTGCACGAGTTGGGGAATTACCCCGGGCTGCAAACGTGCGCTTGGGGCGGTGAGGATGCTCTCCGTGCTGGGAGCCGGGGTTCCCGCAGCTGTCTCCGTCCGAGTTGTTTCTCCAGTCAATGCAGGATCGTACTGCCGCCGCGCGGGACGCTGGGGACTCAGAAGAACCAGGAGCTGGAGCAAACTGGCGCGTGCTGCTCGGTTTCCAGGGCTCCGTTTAGCCTGAGCTGGCGCGATGTCTTCCGGGCGGGGTTTACTGCAGGAGCGCCTTCTGGACTGGAGGTTTGAGCTCCGGCGGCCGCCTCCTGTAGGATAGATGCCTGAGCCCTCTGGGGGTCTTAGCTCCGCCCCGCAGGTTCTCCGGGCTCAGAGGACTCCGGGACTCTGATGGCGGGGGAAGGAAGCGCGCGGTGTGGCGTCGGATCTCCGCCTCGGCAGTCTTTCTTTCGCTCCGCTTTCTGCGGCCACCTCGGGCCGCCTGCTTTGCTGGAGTTAGAGCGTTCTCTCCCACTGATTCCGGTCGCCGCAGCCCAGCTCCAGCACTTCTCCACCAGCTCTTGGCACCGCACCTTGCACCCCCAGGGTCAAGTGAGGTGTGCGGGGTGTGCTGGGGCGTATCCACTGCTAAAGGGAACGGTGGTATCTGGCGCCCTAGGCTTTTGGTCCCTTCCTTCTTTCTCCTGCAGGGAGCAGCTCCACGGGGCGACGGCGGAGGAGTCAGCGAGCAGCCGGCTTCCCGACACAATTCCGGCTTCCCGGAAACTTCAGCCCCGCCATTGACACATGCGGGACTGAGGTCTAGAGCTGCGAGAAAGGGATTTGCGCACCTGGACGTGGGTCGCTCCTGTCTCTTCCCGAACTTCTCATCTCCTTGTCACCTTTTCACGTTCTCCTGCTTACCTTTTGCGGGGTTTTTTTTTTTTTCTTCCTCCTGTAGATTTGTAAATTCTTGAAGCGTGTGCCCCGTATCCTTATAGGGATCTCTCCCATCTCTAAGACAGCGCCACTCAGACGGCATGAACCAGTTAGAAATCTTTAGTTCCGCTCCTGGCACAGAAAAGGTGCTAGTGGTGGTTGAATAAATAAATGAATGAACGTGTTTCTTCACGAGGAAGAGCTTCCTGAAGGCGGGTCCACACTAGGCTTCATAAAGGACATAAGGGCTGCTTTCCATGAAGTCTAGCTCCCTGTCTGCCCTTAGCAGGTGCTGAGGAATTGTTTGCTGATCCATCAATTATGCTCCCTAAAAATCATTTCTTCATCTGTGAAATGGAAATTATAATGAAAGAACTCACCTCAGAGTGCCCTTGGGAGGCTTACACGAGTGATGTAAAATGCTTCGCAATGTGCCCGACTGTGACAAGGGGTGAATACATTAGCGATTACAGTCATTGTGCTATATATCCCTTTCTCCCCAGTTCTTAGTGTCTGGACCTCAAACTCTTAGTCTACAGATCCTGTAAATGGACAGGAAATGAATGAGAGGGAACTAAGCCAGGAAATATTGGGGACAGAGGGGCACCAGCTAAGGTCTGGGACATCTCCCATTGTCAGTTTTTATAATAAATGACTGCTAGTGTGTTTGAACCTATGTGCTCTGTGCTTTACATGTATTAACTCATTTTATACTTGCAACATTCTATGGGGTAGGGGTTATTAGTATCCCCATTTTACAGACAAAGAAACAGAGGCCCAGAGCAGTTAAGTAACTTGCTTAAGGTTACATAGCTTAGTAATGTTGGGGAAGCGTGTGTATGCTAGGATTTGAACCCAGTAGCCTGGCTGTGGAGTCTGTGTTCTTATCCGTCATACCGTACTGCCCCTCTGCACTATCCTCTTCTCTGGGATTTTCAGCAATAACAATAGCAAAGCACCCTAATCTGGCCCAAACACCATGCTAAGTGATTTATGTTTGTTATCTCTATTTCCCATAGCCCCAGCTAGGCAGGTATTATTATTTCCATTTTATAGATGAGGATATTGAGGTCCAGAGAGGAGTGATCTCCAATGTCACAGTCAGGGGCCAAACAGAAAGCAGAACCCCAAACTTAACAGCTTTGTGCTCCCTATCCCCACCCCAACCCCAGCTGTCCCTTACTCAGCTCTTTCCAAGGTGGCAGATGCCAGTGAAGCCCAGGATGCCCCCTTTCCACTCCAGGGAGTGACTGTTATCCCTGAATGTGATCCAGAACAACCCTTTTACCCATATTAATTGCAAGCGGCTTGCTGAGTTTCTCCCACTCTAAGCCTCCCAGGTCTCTCTCCTGCCTAACTGAGCTGTTCATCGCCAGTGGCAAAGGGCAGTAGTCGGCAATGGACTAAGTATGTGTCTAAAGTGTAACTCTTTACTTTCCCATACCTTACCTCAGTCATCGCTAGTGTTCCCCTTCTTAGTAAAGGCACCACTAGCCACCCAGAGATTATTATTTCTCCCTCCCCCTCACCACCTACATCCAGTACTTGAGAAGTTCCTCAATTCTACATCCAAAACATACCTCAGATTTAACCACCATCTTCTCTACCAATCGACACTTTAGTCCAACCATAACCTCTTGTTTGGGCAACAGAATTTTTTTCCCAGTCAGTCTCTTTGATACATTCTTGTTCCTACAGTTTATTCTCTATACATTACCAAGTGATCTCTTAAAAACATAAAGCACTCCCTTGCTTAAACCCTTTGGCGACATCCTCTTGCACTTAAAATGAATCCAAATTCTTTACATAAACCCTACAATGCCCTATATGATGTGACCCATCCTCTCCTCTTTCTCTAGCTCATGATGCTTCAACCATAAGCCTGCATGTTGACTAGTGACCCCCCAAAATTCACGTCCACTCAAAACCTCAGAATGTGACCTTATTTGGAAATAGGGTCTTTGCAGATGTGATTAGTTAAGATCGGGTCATATTGCATTAGGGTGGGACTAAATCCAATGACTGGTACCTTGAGAAAAAAATGGAGAGAGATTGAGACACAGAGACATAGAGGAGACTTTCACAGGGAATAAGGCCATGTAAAGACAGAGGCAGAGTAACTGGAGTAATACAACTACAAGCCAAGGAACACCAAGGATCACCAGCAATCACCAGAAATTAGGAAGACACAAGGGAGGCTTCTTCCCTAGAGTCTTAAGAGGAGCATGGCCCTAGTGACACCTTGCTTTCAGACTTCTAGCCTCCAAAGGAGTAAGAGAATAAACTTCTCTTGTTTTAAGCCACTCCTCTTATGCCAATTTGTCTGGTAGCCCTAGGAAACTAATGCACATGACAAGATCTTTCCTGCTCAGAGCCCTTTTACTTGCTGTTCCCTCTACCTGGAACTCTCTTCTTCTGGCTCATTACATGGTTGGTTTCATTTCATCCTTTCAGATCTCCATTATAGTCTTATCTTTTCAGAGATGCCTCCCCAACCACCCTAGCTAAACTTGCTCCCTTGAGTTACTCTGTACCACAATGCCCTGTTCAATTTTCTTCATAAGATTTATCATTCTGAGCTTACTTCATGGATTTCTTTGGGTATATATGTGTTATCTGTCTCATCCCAAGAGAATGCATATTACATAAGAGTCACAGGTGTAACCCAGTACCCAGACAAGTAACTTACATAAGGAGGAACTCAAAAAATATTTGTTAAGTGAACTTATCAAACAAAGGCTCAGAAAAATCAAAAAGGAAACTTGCCCAGGATCACACAACTAGGAAACCACACAGTTTTTATTTAAACACAGGCTTTCTGACTGTAGATCCCAGGCTTATAACCATTATGCAATAACATTATACTAATTTTGATGCAAAGGAGACAAATAAAATTTGGGGTGGGGTCCAATAAGGGGGGAGAAGAAAAAGAGATTAATTATACTTTAGTTATTGGGGTTTGGGTGTGGCAGAAGCAGCTGGAAAACAAGGTTGGGTCTGCAAAGAAGATCTGATCTGGAAGATCGACCTAAATTTAAGGCCAGAAGAAATCTTCTCTTAGTAGAAACCTGGGGAGCTGTCCTGAGCTCCCCGGTGCTGAATTCCAGGTTGGAGCTTGAGGAAGCCACCTCATGGCTTTTGTGTACAAGGTCTCAACTCATGTGTCCTAGCTACTCAGATTTCCCTCCACTACTCCTTCTCATTGGGGCAGCTCATCCTTCATTGCTTAACTTAATTCATGAACTGGATTATTTAGTTTACAAGTCCACTCAGCCTCTGCCCTGTCCACTGTCCTAACCTCAGATAGTTGGGTAGAGAAAATTCCCCTTCACAGAATATCAATAAATGAACTTATAAGTAATTTGACTCTACTGATACATGGTAGAATTTAGTCTACAAAGTTGTCAGAGAAAAATAAGAAAAATTATAACCAGTGTTGGGTACTGATCACTGGTTTAAATTCTGGCCTCTTCCTCCATGAAAAATGCACAGCGATTGCTTTTGTAGAAATTCAACTATATCTCCTTACTGACAAAGCCTCCATTTCAGCTCTTGCAGGTGCTTCAGATCCCCTGAGGGCTTGCTGGGACTCCCATTTGATCTTTACTTGGGTAGTCCATACTATAGACCTTGGATACAAGATCCATTCACCTCTCCCTGCAGTGAGGCCCCTGGCATGGTGTTCCTCAGCCACATTTGCCCTACCCTTACCTGCCAAGGAGCATGGGAGCACTTCTGGATCCCATATATACCAGTCAGGAGCCAAAGGACACTTGGTGGTGTTATCCTAGGTCACTCTACAAAGACAGTTACTCATACTGTTTTCATTCTGTTCCTGAGACACACTGAACACGGAATTCACCCAGATATTTGTGACAAATCAGTTAATAAGCTTTCAGCCACAAGTAACCAAATACCTCATTTAAAGTGGCTTAAAAACAGGGAGCTCCATAGTAACAATGATCATACCTACCACCCAGACCTTGTTTTTTAATACCATTCAACAATAAAATGAACCAACGATCTTTGGAGAAATGGCTGAATCCTGGGGGAGGAACATACAAAATGAGTCTGGATCATCTTGTAATGGTAGAAAATACAAGGGTACTTTCAAAAGTTCATGAAAATATAGAATTGAAAGATAATACAAATCTATCCATGAACTTTTTGAAGTACCCCCATAAGACAAAAACAAAACAAAACAAAAAACCACACTAATGGGGCTATGTCAAAGAGACACAGGAGCCAACTAAAAGAGCTCCCAGTGGCCAAAACCAGAACAATTTGAGTGACAAAATGAAGTAGTATTACATAATAATCCAAAGTACAAAATAAATACCTGTGAGTCCATACGTATATAAATAAATGGTTGAATCAATAAATAAATGGGGGAGAATAGGCAAATCTCACTTGCAGAAGAATATCAAATAATTTAGGTAGCTACTCCTCCTTCAAGGAATCAGAGCATAACTCCCTGCCTCTTGGTGTGGGCTGGGCCTGATGACTTCCTTCCACAAGGAAGTATGGAAAGGAGGGAAAAGATTAGCTTTACAGTGGAGAAAACTTCTAGCAGACACTACCTCAGCGAGGTGATCAAGGTTACACAGACAGTGGTAAGTCATGTTGATACTATGTGCCTTTGATATGATCTGATGAGAATGGCAGTTTACAGCTGTGGTTCTCCTTGAAGAAAACCCATAACCCCAATCTAATCACAAGAAATAGACAGATCCCAACGGGGAGAGAGTGTACCTGACCAGTATGTCTCAAAACTGTCCAGCTGATCAAAAGCAGGAAAAGTCTGAGGAACTGTCACTGCCAAGAGGAACCTAAGGAGACTGACTACTAAATGTAATGTGGCTTCCTGGATGGGATCCTGGAACAGAAAAGGTAGATTAGGTCAATACCAAAGGAATCTGAATAAAGTACAGACTTCATTAAATAATAATGTATTAATATTGGTTTGTTAATTGTAGCAAATGTACCATATTAATATAAGGTATTAATAACAGGGGGAACTAGATGTGGGGCATACAGGAACTCTCTCTACTATCTTTGCAATTAAAAAAAATACAACCACTCTAAAATTTTTAAATTTACTTTTAAAAAGGGGGAAGCCTTATTATCTCAGCGTAACCAGAAGCCTGGAGCAGTGCAACAGTGGAGCCAGTTGAGTCAATAGGTAAAATTTATTAACAAGCACTGAGACTCTTCCCTTCCTCCCCTCATCCATCCTTAACTTGATACCCTTTGTCCTCGAACCTATCCTGTCATGATTGTGAGATGGCTGCCACAGCGCCAAGCACCATACTCACATGAAAACACATTTACAGACACCAAGGGCAATTTCACTTTCTGTGCCTCTAGACCCTAGTCCAAGCTACCTGGGGACCTATGACTGGCCAGATCCATGGACAGGAAATGGCAAGGTACTAGGACTGGGCACCAGAATCATATGAGCGGGTAGTGGTGAAACAGTAGTTCCCCTGCAAAAATGTGGGGTGATGTTACAAGAAGTGGAAAAAGTATTCCGGACAGATAAAAATACAATGTCCATTAGAAAAGTACTGTTAGGATCCTCATTTAATAGATTTAATAAGTGGAACTTAGAAGGTGACATGAATTGTCCAAAGTCACAAAGCTAGTAAGTGACTGAGCTGGGGAGCTGCAACTTTCATATTAACACAACTAGGCCAAAGCTCTTTTCATCACACTGTGTTGTGGTCAGGAAGGACTTCCTGGAGGAGGTGAATTATGAGATTGATTAGTTGACCAAACTGGGTGGGATGCAGGAAAGGCAGCAGCCTCAGACATGTCTGTGTAATTGAGCATGGACAGTGCCTTTTCCTCTATAGGCTGTGGTGTGAGTGACAGGACCCCTACCCCTTTCCCCAG